TGGTGTTTGCCCTAAAAATCCATACATAAATATAGGTCTACTCATTTTACATGGCCACCCATTACCTCTCACCCCTAAAGGCTTTTTGTTTTATTTTACTAAGAGTGGAAAATGCTTCTTCAACATTCATTAGTATTTTACGTACCGTTAAAATGAACAAACAAAACATAAACCACCCCAGATCACATAAACACACGCTCCAGGAGGATTTATTAGAATGAAAGTTCAAGGCAGAATCACCTCACACAAACATTATTTTGCTGCCCTGATTTCTTCATATGAAAACTTGGCATTGAGCTCACATTCCAGTGCCTGTCCCACAGTCTTGACACTTGTTGAGGAAAGAAGCCAAGACAGAATAACTCGTGAAGGCAGAGATGTTTGCTCTCCTGTCTCACATGCATGAGGGGAGGCTGGCTTAAGAGTTCCTTCCCATTTCTCCTCATTTTGCAATTTCAACTCAAGGATAGATTTGTGCTCTGAATGATGTATATGGGGACTTAACATGCTTATGTTAATAGATTCAAAGAAAGAAAAGCATGGAGTTACACTCACAGCATTAGCCTAACTAACCAGGCAGGAACTCTCACACGTCTGGCATGTGTCGCAGCCAAGCTCCACATATTTATATAACCCCACCCAAATCAGCATAACCCCAAAACTGGCCCATTGCAATAAACTTGCACTGTCTTGGCCTTGAGCTGTAAGAGCTGCCCAGAATATCCACACATGAACAAACACTGCCATATCAGGTCTGTGTGGAATACTCCTCAGCCAGCCAGTATTCCAGGACTGTGACAGATGTGGCAGGAGTACACCTACACAGCAGAGTGCAAATACAGCAAACTGTATCTGCCTGTGCTCAAGGCCACGGGCAGCCTCGCAAAGGCATGATGCAGCCAGTGCAGCACTGAGTCTGTTCTAATGCTGTGGGGTCTGTACTGATGTAACCTGCACATTGGCCCTGTGTGAGCAGTCACAGCTACACCAATCCGCTCAAGGGCTGGCACATTAGTTCTCTCTGTGTACAACATGCGATAGACATGAATCTCGTGTATCCCAGGAACGTTCTGCTCTGAGAGTCTCAATTTCTAACCCTGTTTCCAGGGATGAAAACCTGGTGCAGGGGGCAGGGAGGAGGAAGAGCCAAATTCCTATCAGAACTTTGGAGCCAGCTTCCTCACTAAATCACATTCTGGCTTCACTAGAATGCCTCCCACCACAAGAGTCTGGCTGCAAAGAATACCATCTCCCCAAAGCCCAAGAGCTTTACCCAGGATTTTCCAACTGTATCTGTCATTCTGGATGACTGGTGAAATTGCTTGAACCCTTGAGATACTGCAGTGCTGCTAGAAAGTCAGGACACCGGCTGAACTCAAAAGGGAAGTGAAGAGAGTTGGACAAAATTTACAGAGCAACTCTACCAGACACGACCAGGATCTGCTGCCTGAAGTGCGAGCTGTGCTAATTTTACCTATCTTCACTTTCCACTTCCGACACCTTTTGGTAACAGCAATGCCCAGAGTTGACAAACATTCTGTATCCCAAAAGCTCAGGCTCCCATTTATCTGAGCAATTGAGGATGCTGGGGGTGATGCCTGGGCAGGTACAGTGTCATATTCCAGGTTGGCAATGTTCTTCCATTTCAGATAAAACACGGATGTCTGTTAAACTCTCTTTCTCCAGTTCAGCAAATAACTCTACTTGGAAGAAAGAAAATTATGCTTCTTTTGTTGCTACCTCATTTTGAATTAAAAAAAAAGGATGAAAGACACAAAAATCAGCCCCCCAAAAAAGCCAAGAAGCCATTTTCAGAATATAAAAATAGCAAAATACACTGTTGGTTTCAGTCACCTTAGTTTTTACTACAGCTATTCAAGTAAATCCTTTCTCAATGGCTTATTGATTGCAAGTTTGATTACTCTCTTGAATTCTAATACCCCTAGACTCAATTGTACAGTATCAATGGGAGTCCATCAAAGCCACACACTCTGAAGGATAAATGAATTAGCACGGTACCGTTATCTATGTACCAGGCCCCAGCTGCACTCACAAACACTTGTGCTGCAGGTGGCCAGCAGCATTTAATGCAGAAGAAAGCTTCATTTCTCTTGTAATCATATCTCACCATCTAACCCACACCTATGATTTAAATCATCTTTCAAAGAATGCTATGGAGAAGAGGAAAAAAGTGATAGTGAAAACTAAGACTATAGGCTTATGAGACTGCAGTTCATAGAATCCCAGAGTGGTTTGTGTTGGAAGTATCTTAAAGCTCATCCAGTTCCAACCCCCTGCCACAGGCAGAGACACCTTCCACTAGAGCAGGTTGCTCCAAGCCCCTGTGTCCAACCTGGCCTTGAACACTGCCAGGGATGGGGCAGCCACAGCTTCTCTGGGCACCCTGTGCCAGCGCCTCAGCTCCCTCATAGTTAACTGGCAGAAGTTCCTGATTCCATCAGGCACCAGTTTGGCAGCTGGTAACTCAGCTTTCTGCTGGTTGGCCTATGTTTTTTTCCTGAAGGCTAGCATGAGCACAGGAACCCCACAAAGCAGTCTGTAACTGCCTTCCCTTTCCAGGGAACTTTAGCAAGTCGTCAGCTCATTTGAATGAGCTTACATTTGGAAACAGGGTGGGTTTTTCACTTTATTGATGCACTCCTCCACACAGGATTTTTTCAAAATCTACATCAAACAAGGAAAAACAAATGCTGAGAGGGCAGATTTAGGGCAATTTATCAAGGTCTGGGAAATAGCTTCCAGATGGATAGAGCTGTTTGGTGCTGGCTGGTGAGAAGGAAGCAAGGTATTGTTATTGAATTAGCATGAATCTCTGGTGGAGAACTGCGTGGTAGATAGAGTGCTCCTTTCATATGGTTTGCATTTGGACCTGTCATAGTTCATTTTTATTCAAAAACCTGTGGTAAAGACACGCAGTTCTTTTTTGTTTATTACATTTCCCCCAATTCTCCCTGTACTGTTACCCAGTCAGTATTTTTCAACTCTGCTGTAAGTGCCATGCCTGGCTCTGTTTGCTCTTTGCCATGCTTGGATGACAGCTTGGTGCTTACAAGCTCACAAGTGGTTTTAGGCTTTACAGTCACACTGAATGTTACCTGAGAAAGTGTGTGAGAGAGAAGAAAAGCTGGATGCTCAAGGAGATGTTTAAACTGAATCACTTCAAGAGTTTATCAAAACCAAAGTAAAAATGATGCATACTGAGGTCTAATGCACACAAGAAAGTGATTGCTAATATAACCAGAGGATTATTCTTGTTAATAAATCCTCCCTTTGTAAACAAGTCTTCTAGCAGTATAAAGGCATCTATAAGAGTGCATTTGCTAATACAGAAATACTGTAAAAAACCAAAACAAAGAAACAAAATTAAAAACAAAAAAAATATGCTCACAACCAACAAAATTCTACTTTGAATAACCTGGATACCTCAATATGTGCCTTACAAAGCAAGACTCACACAAAGATTTACATATTTCCTCCTAGTCCCACCTGAAGCATTCACCCTAGTTTATGTTGCCATCAAATTAAAATGACAGTTCTTCTATTAACCTGAGGAGATAAACAGCCACAGTCCCGCACTGTAAAGGCAAATCCACTGTTACCAAGCAGTTAGTTTCAGTTAAATGAATTTCTGACAACGTAGAAATCTTTTAAGATCCTAGAAAAGTTGCTGTTGATATGCCAATGAGTAGAAGGATTTTTAATGAGGCGGCATTTCCAATGGCTTTTTCAGTTATTTAGGAGAAATGTTGTTAGAATTTCTGAGTACAGGGTGTGGGGGCATCAGGGTGAAACAGAGGAAACAGACTTTGCCTCTTCCCATTTCCAGTGTTCCAAGGGATCAACCACAATTACTCTGTTACCATCTGGTAACAGAGTAACCATCTCTGATACCATGTACTCTGGGCAAATAGAGAAAGGAAATGGTGATTTCATCAGAACCAACTAATTCCTAAATCCTACCTGAAATGTAAGACGGGTACTTGTGCTTACTTCCTACATGTATGTCTGGTTCTACCCTTCTTTTTTTCCCCCCTATAGTTCTTATTACTCTGTGTATTATGAGCATCTGCTTCAACTGACCAAGACTCTGTAAGAAAGATGCAATGAGGCAAATAAAATCACAGTCTCCAGGACGTAACCTACTTCTTCAGCCATAACATCCAACCTCCCCCAGGCTGTGAACAGCTCATATGCCTCATTTATTACTTATACTTAATCCTTCAGCTACTGACTACTGAGCTAGGTTTCCAGTTATATCAACTCTGAAGCAAAGTCTTGATAGCCTCAAGCTCTCACAATGCAGCGTTAGCAATGCCAGTTATACATCACTACTGAAGAACCTGTATTACTCAATGACATGGTTTTCTGATTTTCAAATGTGTTAGGAGGAAGCTGACCCTGGATGCTCACAGTGCTCATCTACCAGATCTTTGCACATCACTCTATGGACCTTAGTGCTCAGAAGTCAAGAGACAGCTGAGCTAGTGGTTGTGCCTGATCAGTTATCACCTTTCTGCTAATCAGGCTGTGCAAGATGTAAACTAGCAGGTATCAGCATTCTGTCACCATGGACCAAACTGGCCCTTAATTCTTATCTGAACTGTCTCCTCTTTGACCTGGCAGTCTATGAAATGGTTGACGTGCTGCTGGCAAAAGAAAAGAAATTAAAATGAAGATAAAATCAGAGAATGGCCAAGGTTGGAAATGACCTCTGGAGATCATCTGGTCCAACCGCTTGGCTCAAAGCAGGGGCAACTACAGCAAGTTGCTCAGGATATTTTGTGTAGTCACAGCACACAGAAATGCCTTCCCAACTGTACAGGATAAATCTGTAGCGGAGAGCAGATGAAAGATCACATGCAATCTGCATGGTTAAGGGATCTTTTGAGCTCAGTTGCCTGGAAAATTGACTTCTCATGGTAAACAGAAGGGGTGGGGAACACTTGATTGCTTTTCATGTAGTTCATTTGTAGTCATACCTTGAAGCCAAAAGGGCAAGTGCATTGATAAATCTCCAGTGGATCATTGTTGCATGTCCCATTGTTCTTACATGGGTTGGAGAGGCAGGGATTACACTTGGACACAACACTGATATCCACCGGCTCTGAAAAGGCAAAACACAAGAGTATTAATAGAGAACTGGATTACAAAATGAATACTTCCCACCTCACACATACATTCCTTCCTAATGCAGTATTCACCCTGTGTTGGCACAAATGCACATGCTGTGGGTGCAACTTTACACAACAGTATGGGATTCCCAGGGATCAGAGAGCTTTTATGTACTAAATCAAGTGCTAGGCAAGTCTCAATGATGCTGATATTCTCCTGGACATGCAAACATCAGCTCTGAAAAAACATGCTGGGAATCTCCAGAGAGAGATATATACACAATGTATAGAGGCTTATATATATACAAATATATATATAAATAATACATATAAAAAATTGCTTTCAGCAATTTTTCCTTCTCTCAGTGCTAGAAATTCTGCAATAGCAACCCCTAGGGAACTATAACATGACATTTCTATGGCTGATAACACGAATGAAAGTGCAGATGCAACAGCAGAAATAAAAAACATGCATAAGAAAGGTTTAGTTAGAGGTCTACGGAAATATTTAGGTGCAAAATGTTCCACCATCCTTAATTTTAACAGAGTCCAAAACTTATTTTCTTCCTTTTCTGCCCAGAAGTATGATTACTCAGCATTCAACAAAGGCAAGAAAGGCAAATATACAAAGACGTGAATGGTTGCAGGTAAATATAAATGGCTATATTTAAACCATTTAATGAACCACATTTTTTAACGGAGCTCTTCCAGAGAAGTAGTGATGTTTGTGGGTGAGCAGGGAAACGAACAGACCAACACAAAGCTAAGTACATTTGGGGTACCAAGTTAACACATATGTTATTGTTGAGATTTTACAGAAAGCTAATTTAGACAGCTATATTTAAAGAAATAGTAATTTTTGAAATGGCTACATTTCAAATACTATGGAGTTAAAGGCTTTTACATGTAAAAAATGAAACCTACCACTTTTAAAGGGCTTAAATTGTATCAGGCAGTAAAGACTCTAAGATAATTTTACTTTATTTTTAAGGAAATGCACCTTAAAATAACCTAAAAATGGTCCTGTCCCAATCAGAAGTGAGCACAGAGTTTCTATTATTGCATGATAAACGATAAGGTGTAAATTGCAGAACATCCTGAAAGTGAAGAACAGACGTTTATCCTAGATATCAGAGAGAAGGTAGAGCTCTAGAAGGTTACCACAAATCCCTTCCAGTTAAGGATTTGCTCTGGACCATCCTGTATGAGATATAAACCTTCTTTATTAACTTTGAATAATTGCATGGCATCAACGTTGGGTAAAACCATGACAGAAATGGGTACCAAGGAGCCTCAGCTGAGAAGCACCTGCGATGTGCTTTTACTGACAGTGGTGTTATCAGGGTCACTGCCTGCAGAGTGCAACATGCAATAATGAGGACAAAATACACATGTAACAAATTCAAACATTGAAATCAAAGACTGATGTTGTCCTCTTCTACCTTTTTGTTTCTGTATAACTAAATGCCATACATGTTTTTAACTTGCAGTTAGGACAGCAAGAGGAAATAACATCTGAATTTCTGGCACTGACGGGGTGGAATGTGACATATCTGAAATATTTTTGTCTTGAAAGTAGAATATATGAAGCATATACAAAGGTAGCTCCTCAGAGAGCTCATAAGAAGGCAGCAGTGTTGCTCTTCTGGATTTAGAGGTCACTAAGCTAGAATTTGTTCTGTTATTTATTTATTTCATAATACACACACATACATTTCCCATTTATTCCTTTGTCATAGATCAAAGCTAATCAATGCAGGAGCTAATAAGAACAGTGTTAGTTCCTAGCTGTTAAGTAGTTCTTTAGTCTGCCCTTGTGGATTTGATTTTTATAAATCCATATAGCAAAATGCCCTCAGCCCAGCACATTCCTTTCCTCTACTGCATAACTAGGAGGGCAATTTAATAAAAAGCAGAGCTGAGTGTGCATGACTTGCACATTACATACTTTTATTTTCTTGGCTCTGCTGAGACATAGAACCTTGTGCTCAGTCACATCTAAACCCAAAGTTTTTACAAGAGTAAGTTAAACTCTACTTGTTTTTAATGTCAAAGTTACTGGAGGTCACAGAGGACACCCAAGCACTACATTTACACAAGCACCTCAAGGTACCCAGCTCAGTGTGGGCTGACCTCTGCAGCAACGACTCAGGCTTTAGAGGCTGGGGGCTTAGCCCACCCTGAGCTCTGTGTCAACACTGTTTGAGCTAGGACTGAATGTACACAGGCTGAAGGACAGACAGAGCCTTGGACACTCTCTGTCACCCCACACACCGTCGTATTCTTCCACTGTCACAGGCCATGCTCATGGCTCCAGCCCGAGGGCAAACCTGCCCTGGACACTGTAATAAATCCTCTTCCTTTACCATAAAAGAGCATCATTGCTGACAGGATAGCACAACACATTGGATCTTAACCATGCACATGGGAAGTGGGTTTAGTGAGGTTACCAAATCACGCATTGCTTTTCAAAATATATGTATTGTGATGAGAAAAAGTGATCTTTTTCTATGGCCTGGAGTTCCTTGGAGTATACTGCAACTTGCCCAGACCATCAAGTCTCTTCTTGTCCAAAGACCACCTCCAAATCAAGACTTTTTTTTCTCCTTTTCTATTCAGATAAAGCAAGCCAGTTGGACAGCACGGGAGACAGCTCTCCAGCTTTCTACTGGGCAAAACTAATATTTACATTAAAAACATAGAGGTGTTTTTAATAGTATGGATCACAGATTTACTTATCTCTTGCCTAAGAGTTGCTTGCTTAGTCCTGAGAGAAAGTGAGCATGACTATTCATCTAGCACAGTTTCAGAATGAAGAATTCATCTAGCTTGCCTATCTGGATTAATTTTCACACCCTGTTTAACATGTAAATATGATAATTTTCTTTGTTTCACTTAATGTGAACAAGTACATTGGTACTTCTAGTATTTTAGAGTATAGTTGTACTTCACATTTGAGAGCCTGTAGTTTTGATAATTATAGTCAGAGTTCTGATAGTTTTGAAACTGACATTTCAAAGTAATTAAATTATAAGGTTACAGTTATTAAAGATGTATTTGAAAGGACACAAAATTCAGATCAGGCTTGGGAACCTGTGTTCTAAAACTATCTCAACACCATAATTTGTTTGTTCAGCAGTTTAATCCTAGACTCTATAAAATCACACACGGCACTCCAAGAGACTTAAAACCAGGCTTTATGTCCTCATTTCTATTTCTAAGATCCTTTCTACTGACCCTTTTCCACTGTAAATACAGCTTCAGGTACTTGCTGGTAACTTGAGTGAATCTCCAAAACTTACTTTACAATAAAAATATTAGTAATATTCTTACTGTAATATTGGGTTACACAGGTATATCCAAACCTACCTAATGCAGTAATAAGCTACTTACTTTATCCACAAAGCATGCTCCTTGTCCTTGCTCTACTGTAGCATACTCCTACCAATGAGGACCCCTAATCACCCATAGCTGCCCCTCACCCCTGTCCTGAAGGAACATACACTCTACTCAGACATGAAACATTTTCCCTAACCCCCAGTTTCTGATGCAGAGCTGATGAGGACAGTTTGTGGATCTTCAAATGAAAATGTACTTTTGGCAAATACTTGTTCCAGAAGAATTCTCAGTTTCTAAGTTTTCAAGAAAATGTACATAATAACCAGAGTGCTCTGTATTTTTAAAATAACTATAATTTTACCAAAGTTTTCTGGTGGACGTAGAAAGCCAAGACCAATTTATTTGCTCAAATAAGTTCTAACAACATCCTATATGCTAACTTGCCATTATATAATCTGGTACAGCAACAGCAACGCTAACTCTTTGAGGTTTGCTGGGTTTCCTTCCAGCGGTGCCATTAACTGCGCTTTGTGGAACAAAATGCAACTTGAACGTAATGTGATGGTTCAGAAAATGAAAGCCAAACGCAATGCCTGCCCAAACTCACTTTAAAACCAAATTGCTCCCAAGAGTAGAGAAATACAGCATTGTATTTGTGCAAAAGCCTCCAGATCGCTCCTACCTTTGCACTGGAAGTGGTGTGTCGGTGTTGTGAGCAGCAGCCTGTCCACCATGGCATCGGGCCCGCTGCAGCGGGCTATCCCCGGCTCCTTGTACCCAGCCTTCACCCACTCAGAAAGCCAGCGGAGGTTGCAGTCACAGTGCAAAGGGTTGGTGCCCAGAGCCCTGTGGTGTAAAGCAATGAATAGCAGTTGTTTTGGCTTGCAAGCAAAGACAACATCCCTGATCTCACCAAGGCACATTTTATTCTATGCTTTTCCAGGAATGTTTTACTTCAAAATGTGGGAAAGATCTTCGGAGTGTGCAGGAAGTATTATAGATTTATCTCCTCCAGTATTCCCACTCTTCTCCTTTCTTCCCATCATTACTTAGGGAGGTTGTATAAATACCTAACAAGAAATCACTTTTTCAAACTATAAATTGCTTTTTCAAATGCTTGTGCATGAGCAGTGCCTCCAGACATACTGCTTTCATCACACTTATCACATTGGCTTCTATTTCAGTCTTTGGCCTTCATGAGCATATTCTGACAGTGAATCGTGTAATTTAGGTTGGATCTGAGGACTCGTGTTAATGTCTCCTCACCAGATGAAACATATATACAGAGGATACCCCTGTTTTACAAACTGCAACCTGGTGTCTGCTAAGGTTGTTTATGGCTTGAAAACGCATTTCCTGGTTAACCCATCACTTGAGTTAGGTCAGATGTCTGAAGCAGATGTACTCACACAGTGTGATTATAATGTGCAAAACTTTTTCATTATTCATGGAGATCTATCCAAAGGAAAACAAACCTTTTAACCTTAAATTTAGGTGCTGCTTTGACTCATTTATACTATTTTTTTCTCTTAAATAAAGTGTCTTTTCAGGCAATCAGTCAATTCCCAACAAAGTTCAGACTTCAGAAAAAGAAGTTGAAAAACAATGAATTTTTTAACATCTGAATGTTGGAAGCCTGAATTTGTTTTGCTGGAAGTAAACGTAAGGATTTAGCTGTACAACACCTGAATTGCCATGGGAAGAAAAGTAACTAAATAAAGATTAGCATAGGGAAGAGATACTAAAGAAACCAGTAATTTAAACTGGATTTGAGACTTCACTTCTATCTGCATATATTATAAACTATGTTTAAGATGGTATTTTAAACTCAAGCTTCTTTCAAATAAAAACAGACAGGATATTAAGATAGAAATCTCAGTAAATTTGTTGATACATTTCTATTTAGAGTGACTAATGAACCCACTGTGCCCTAGACAGATTCATAATGGGAGTTCATAGGTTCAAACCCTGTCTAGGGCTCATTCATCAAAATTAAACGTGTACTACAGCACACTATTAAAAAATATCCAGCCATTCCTTCTGTAAATCCATTGCTTACAATGGAAAAAAACCTACTGAGTTGACTTTCTGACCCTGTAACTGTGATCAACCGGCTCACTTGGCCAAGGTCAAACAAAACACAGCAGTGAAAGTTGGACCAAGAAATTCACTTCAGCGTTGAGCAGCTGCCATATATAAACTGGAAGAGGGAGGTCAATGGAAAGCTAGTAACTGTGCTAATTAATCTTTATAAACTACACTAGAAATAAATCACAGAATCATACAATCACAGACCAGTTTGGGTTGGAAAGGACCTTAAGTACATCCAGTTCCAACCCCTTCCACTAGAGCAGGTTGCTCCAAGCCCTGTGTCCAACCTGGCCTTGAACACTGCCAGGGATGGGGCAGCCACAGCTTCTCTGGGCACCCTGTGCCAGCACCTCAGCACCCTCACCTCCCCTGTTAAAGTCTGAACCCACCACCCTTTGTCCTAACACTCCAGTCCCTGATGAAGGTCCCTCTCCAGCATCCTTGTAGCCCCCTTCAGACACTGGAAGCTGCTCTGAGGTCTCCCCAGAGCTTCTCTTCTCCAGGCTGACCAGCCGTAACTTTCTCAGTCTGTCTTCATATGGGAGGTGCTCCAGCCCCTGATCATCCTCGTGGCCTCCCTCTGGACTTGCTCCAACAGCTCCATGTCCTTCTTATGTTGAGGACAGCAGAACCGCACAGTGCTGCAAGTATGTAAGCAGTACTCCAATGCTGCTCCATAGACACTAGAAATTATTACGATAACGTTGTTGTACAACTGCAGAAATTATCACATGTATCTTTCCGTTCTTTTGTTTGTGATTTTGTTTTTTTTTTTTTTTATTTTTATTTTTTTA